TGATGTCCCTCCAGTCTCCCCCAGCCAAGCTCTACTGGACACCGGTTCTCTGTGACTGCCACTGAACTGCAGTCAATAAACCTGCTCATGCGTCTGGAATAAGCCCCTCCTCCCCTCCAGCCCCTCTGGTCAAACAGTTTAGGCTAAGCAGGGCAAAGAGAATGCCTGATGGGAACAAAAAGAAGCTTTAAGCAAGTACAAATGCCAAAATCTGAACAGCCGTGAAGGGACAGAAAACTAGTTCTGGGAAGAGCTTTTGCACTCGCCCTGGCACGAGTCGCTAGAACACACCTCGGCTTCAGGACCAGGTCTGAGAGCAGGTCTGCAGTCCCAGGGGGGCCAAGGAGGCCCGAACCTCCTGGGGGAGCTGTCCGCAAGAGGCTAAGCTTGATTCATGCGGGAAGAGGTGCCTGGAACTGCTGATAGAAGGATCCATGCTCTGGGGACCTCACGCGCTCACAGGAGTTGGGGTGTTCACATGAGTTACGGCTCTGAGATGCTGATCCAGGATGTAGGCTTCCACCTCCCAAGTGGTGTGGTCTTAACCTCTGCCGAGAGCAGGCAGGCTGTGACTGATTTAGCATCTGTGCTATGGCAGGTCAATTTCTCCAGGAAACAAACAAACCACTATGAGAAAATGAAATCTTTACTATTTTTTTTTCTCAGTGGCAGAATCACACAGCTATTTGATAAGAGGTCCCAATGGGTCAAAAATACTGTTTGAAGTTGCAAAAATTCTATTCTAGAAACACTCAAGAGACAGAAGATGAACAGTCACCTCAGTTCATCAGATGGTTGCTCGAAACATATTCTTGACCTTATTTTTTCTATGGGAAGAAGTCTGAAGGCTCAAACTGGAGACTCTACATTAACGTACAGGTAGGGCCAAGAAGGAGAAACTCTAAAAGGAAAACATGAAATCCCTATGCTGGTGGGCTTGCAGAAGTTCACCAACTTTGTGGGTATTTTGTGTTAACTACAAAACTTGCCATTCCCCAGACTGAAGGAAATAAAAAACACAGTCTTTATGAAAACAAACCACTGCTCTTCAAGGTCCTGTCCCCTTGAGAAATACTGCTGTCAGAAAGGGGCTAAGAAGCTTTACTTTGTGGGTGATGAACTGTTACTCATCTGAAATACTTGGGACAGAAAACCAAGCAAATTTGGTATATTATTTCCGAAGTGGAACTTTACAAATTTGATAAAATTGAGTTAAAACATGCAAAGACATTTTTTAGTGCCAGATGGTTGGCACTTATGTTGATCTTACGTTGTGTATAAATCTGAAAGGTTAAGGACCTGATGGAAGAAACCACTCCTAAGACATGTGTTATTGCAATAGCAATAAAAAGCAGGTTAACAGACCACATGAAAGAAAGAAAAATAATAATCATTTATAGCCTAAATACTGTAAAAGCTAGAGTTGTACTCCCATTTTGAAAGAAAGTATGACTTCTGAAATGCATGGTAATGTTCAGTGTTATTTAATGTCCTTATGAAAATGTTATGACGTTAACACAACTCATAAAGGGCTGTATATGAACATGCTCAGCTGTGAGTTTCCAACAAATTAAACATTATACATGATCATGTTAAGATTATTCACCAAAGACAGTGTCCAAGTCTGCCTTTAAAAACTCATCGTAGAGGTTTGGACAGAGAAAGCTGAGAAACACTGTTTCTTAGAGTCACAGTACAGCAAATGCACTCACATTATAGCAACAGTTTCACCAGTAACAATTTTAATCTTACAGAATAAAGCTCTAGTATGAGAAATTACAATGCATTTATCTTCTTTAAAACCATTTTAAAGAAGGACAAATCTGTTCTTTTTAGAAGTCAAAAACCAGCAGAAAAATGTAACTGATAAATTCAGTCTTTGAAACATCTTGTGGCTAATCATATGCTAATTTTCAAAGGCAACAGAATTTTTGGTCCATGAGACCTTTGAAAAACAAAGTAAGTATGGGACAGTCCCATTTATCAAGAGAAATACAAAGTTCATGAAGAAATTTTAATACTTACTGAAGCATCTTTTTACAGAATGATTTGTGTGCGTGTGTGTGTGGATACACAAGAAATACCTCTCGTAAATAATGGGCCTGGCCAGACAAAAACATACACGAACTAAGATGCTTTAATAGGATGAAAAAATTCCTCTCAAGACCATCAATAACTATCAGGTTTTCTTTGAAAGTCAACTGAGATACAGTTATTCTTCTTACATCAACATGGACCAGGATCTTCCCGAGGGCAAGGATCAACATGCAGGCAGGCCCATGGCCACGTCCGGCATGCTGTTTCTGTAAGTAAAGCTTTATTGTCACACAGTCACATTCACTCATTTGCACATTGTCTGTGGCTGCTTTCAAGCAAGAGGGGAGGTTCCAATGCCAATCTAATGGTTACTTCTCTTTTATTGATATTGTGCTCTCTGACTTTAATGCCATGTGTATAGTTTGCGTATTCTATACTTCATTTATGGGTGTGTATAGAGGGAGCTTAACATCCTGGCTGAGTTTGTATCTTTAAAATATTTGTGATATAAACATTCTTGCTGGCTATGACCAGTTTGACTTCAGGCCACTTTGGAATTGGCGTAAAAACTGTACATCTTGTATTATCTAGAACTAGGAAATTGGATAGCAAAAGTATAATGAAAAACAAATATACTTCAGGGTAAATGCCATTCAATCTGGGGAAAAACAACTAGAGTTTTTCATACACACACACACACACACACACACACACACACCCCAAGCCAACCTCCCACCGATGACAAATTGGTAGCTACAACATCATCAAAGTATCTTTTGCTTTATAAATATATTACTATCTATATACATAGATACATCCATAAAAGACATGTTAAATAATTATCTGTATAATCAATACTACTTAAGTTTTTTTTGTGTTTTAAAATTACACATTCTATTAAAATTATGCAAATAATTCTTATAAAATACCAGGAATAAAACCAGAGAAGAGTTGCTTTCCATTTGAGTGGCTCTGAACCTATCAGACTTGGTCATCTGCCACTCAGAGAAACATGGTTCCAATAAGGACAAGTTCGCCATTCAAAGTTGAATACCTTCCCATTTTTAATACTTCACAACCAACATGTAGGCATGTATGTATAATATATATAATATATGTATATATAAATGCTCTGTTAAGTTATATTACATATTCTCATAAGTGAATTTTCATAAAAACACCAAGTTCAAGTTCTCACCAGTATCAAATATTTTACACTGGTGTGCATTTCTTGCAAAGGTTTAGGTCAATGACAGACAACTCTATCAGGATAAAGAGATCAGAAAAAGGAGGCTGAAAACTTACGTGTCACATGCAGGAAAGGAGGAAATACTAAGGCCAGTATTGGCCAGTTGGGTACTATTCCCTCTGTACTAAGACACAGAGACAATGAACTGGCTGATTACTGTGTAAAGTACAGTCAACTGTCAATTATTCAGGGGCAAAATATTCTAATCTAAATCCCTTCTCTCCCATTGGTGGACCACTTCTGGCAGTCTCACTACTTTTAGCCTTTCTCTCCGGTTGTTGATTAGCAAGTCTAGTCAAAGAGATGATTAGGGAGAAAGTTTTGGTTAAAAGCGACGTTTGGGATCAGCTATGGATTTAATTTAACGATGGATCCTTTTACTTATTGCTTTAGGTCAATAAGAACTTGCCGTATCTAAGGTCTGCCAAATAGCTCATTCTTAAGCTCAGAAAGCAACATAGGTGCTCTTGGACAGGGGGACAAATTGTCCTCTCGACGTTAGAAAGAAAGAAAGAAAGAAAGAAAGAAAGAAAGAAAGAAAGAAAGAAAGAAAGAAAGAAAGAAAGAAAGAAAGAAAGAAAGAAA